TGATTATTTACAAAAAATATTCTCGGATTTGGTCAAATATCTTATCTGAAACACTTAAAAATTTCGACAGCTAAAGCGATCAATTTTATTTTTAACTTTCAAATAAATTGAAATACTTCTGAGAGTCATTGAGCCAAAAAAGGCCAATTTTTTTACTTTAACAAATATGAACCAAAAGACGTCAATGAAAGCAGATATAATTGATGTGGGAAAAACTTCATGGTTTCTGGGGCAAACAGCTGATTCTGCAAGGTTATTTACCATACAAAAAATTACCATTTCATTCAGCACCTTATATTTGGTTCTTCGTTTGAACAAACATTAAAGTAATTGTAAGGAAAAGAGCACCTTACACCCAAAACACTTCGTATTAGAAGGCCTTAAAACTTAAAAAGAAAAAGAAAAAAAGAAAAATTACGACAAACAGATCCTGTCGTAAGAAGTGTCATGACTTCATCAATTTTCAAACAACCTTTTCGCCAAAGAACTAGCTGCAGTTGTGATGCTTAAATGAAGAAGATTAAGACGAACAAGAGCAAAACTCGAGAAGAAATTGATAAAATAAACTGAATAGTTTTTAGACTAGATCTCCGACTACTAGAGAATAGACAAAAATTTTTAAAAAAAAAAAGTAGCCATTTCTTTCTTTCCTCATAGAAGTTTGAACAAATTTCCGATAAAGACTAAAAATTGCGGTTAAATTATTAAGCATCGATAACGCCAGTGGCAACTTATCAAAAAATCGTTTCGGCTCTGACCTGAACTTTCTTCACACTTTAACCGCAGGATAAAAAATTGTGCCGAAAATTGATCTAATCGAAACTGTGGAATTTTCTTTTGATTATTACTGCATCTATTCGTCGTTGTTTCCGTACAGAGCAAAAAGACTGGGCAGTTAAAAAACTGGCAGTTGAAAATGACTGGGCAGTTGCGTGACGAATGAAAAAAATAAAGACAACAGATTATATTTTTTAACATTTTTGAAGTATCGGTACCTAGTTAACACTGATATTCGGCCTAAATCACTGGTAAGTCAACCAATTATTCTGTTGGAATGCTGGTGTTTGCATCATACGTCAACATCACGACCAGTGTCAAATAGAATTTTGAAAAAAAAATGCAGAAAAATTATTACAGTGTTATAGAATATTAAGTCAATAAATCGTTTGATTCAGTTAACCATTCATGCATTAATGTTGAGCTAACTTTTCAAACGTACATTTCAAACACGTGCGTCTTGATCCTTTACATCGTTTCTGCGAGCGACTAAAGAAAAAAAGATTTCCAAATTTTGAAGTGCGAATTACTGTTGTGTTATAATTTCACTTGACCAAAAAAAATTGTTTTTTTTTTTAGTTAATCACCAAGATAAATTGTGTCGATTAGATACCTCAATTATATTGCAATTTTATCTCCGAGTTTTTGCAAAAAAAAAAACATTTTCTTCAGTTCACATCGCAAACAACTCATCAAGTTAGGTTGTTCGTTTACCTTTAGCTTTGGTGATCAACGGAATTCCGCGTAACAACAGTTCTATGACAAATATAGGCGATAGAAAAAGATTTTTATTTTTATTTACTCCTTTTTCTTTTTTTTTTTCTCAAGAAGAAAAAACTTTTTTTCCACTTCAGATCTATAACTATTTATTTATGTACATTTTGTCTATATACATACAAATGAATATGCACGCACACGTAGACAGCTGATACTGCAAAACAAAAAAAAAAAAA